AGAAAAACCTACCATATGAGATTCCAAAACTTTCATATGTAATCAAAATCTCATCAACATGAGACTCCAAGACTTTGATGTGTAATAATTGACCCTTAAGAGTATTAAACAGTTTACACCCTTTGGAACTTAAAAAATTATACTCTACCCCCCAAAAATACAACAAAAAATCTCATTGAAATACCTCTCATGAATTTTTAATTTTAGTATGAATGACTTGTTTTTAATTGGATCAGAAGAGAATTAATTGAGATACGCATAAATTGACATTAATATCCCAAAACTTTAAACTAAAAAAAAAAAACAAAATAAAAGCCCTCACCAAAAAGAAAAAGGAGTAACATGTATAATAATTGTAATCACAAATATGATCATAATCAATCAATCTGAAAGTGATGATTTTGAAGATGGTGACGATGATTCTTCTTCTTCACCCTCTGGGCAAAACTCAAACCTATTAGCCTCCATTTTCTCCACCACAAAATGGCCCTAACAAGTGCTTGGTCTCCACTAAATTCTCTCTGCACAAGAACTCATCACTGCTCACTCTCTCCACCTCTCTCTCAATCTCATGAACAAACACATGGGTCTTGTCCCCACCTCCTCTTTTGCTCCTTGCCAGTACGCCGGCGGTGAATATCGCCGGCATTCTTCCCGGAGCTCCGGCAAAATACCAACGAGGCCCATCCACCAGAATCACATCCCATGCGACGTCGTAGATGTGGTTTGGTAGGTCATTAATGGCTAACTTGCAGTCGGAGAACAAGAGGTTCTGTACGGGCTTACACTCATTCCGAAGTTGGTCTCTGGAGTACTCTAATAGTTCGTACATATCACTCACTTTGGTTGTGAATTGAACGTCGTAAGCTTCGATTTCGGGTGTTTTTCTTCGAGCTTTGACACTAAATATGCGCTTTCGTCGACGAAGACTGTACGTCCGTTGTGGTTGAGTGAGTTCCAGAGGAGGGTCTCGTGGGTTAATCCGAAAATAAGGAAGTTACATGGGTTGGAGCAGCGGCGGAGCACGGCGGCGATGGAGTTGAGCTCTGCCGATGAAATGCCGGAGGCTTCGCTGGAGTTGGAGGAGACGGAAACGTAGTGGAGGAGGGCGTCGAAGACGGGCTTGGGAAGTGGGGACTTGGAGGTGGCGGAGGTGGTAGTTCTGGTGGTGGGAATTGCGTCTCTGGTGGTGAGGAGTGTCAGAGCAAAAGCAAAAGTGAAGAAGAAAAAGAAAATCAGAAGCCATGTACGGTGAGAGGTTGTTCCTCCTTGCTTGTGGATTGAAGGGTGGAGGACTATGAACTTTGTGCTGGTCTTCATTTCTCAGACCCAAAACAAAAAATTTCAAGCGACTGAACAGATCTTAACCCAGATCTGTCCCTTTCTTTATCTGAGAGAGAGAGAGAGAGGATTGAGTGAGTGGCACGAGTAACAAGGTGATCTGAGTAGTACTGTACTAAATACTTAATGGAATGATTTCACATTGATATGATGTGGGCCCAAATTAGGCGAGGTTGTGGGACCGGGAAATAAAGGGTTTTAGACTTTTAGTGACCGTCTGGCCGGAGATTAAGACGACGTCGTTTTCGTGTCAATTTATTTGGCTGACTGTTTAATGTTTACTGTTGTGTATTAAACACCATGGACGTTTATGTGAGCCTGGAAGGACTTTTTTTAGTGAAAGAGACCAAAAATGGGGAGCAAATTATTGCGGAAAATCGGTGGTGGGATTTAGTGGTCAAGTTAGGAGCGAGGATGGCCTTAAATATGAGGAGGTGTGGATAGAACCCTCCCCCCGGCCCGGGGAGGTTTTGGTACTTGACATTTAATGATGTGTAGTGTTGTTGCTATCTTAAATGTTTATAATCGAGCCAAGTTTTAAGATCTCGCTTCTATAGTATTGAATGATAATGATAATGTCATGTAATTATTACAGTTTTAATATTTTTTCTATTATTACATACTTGTTTTTGTTGTTAATAGGTAAGTGATATTTATAATTAGCAAGTATACTACAAATGAATGGTTGATCATTGTAAAAGTTAAAATGATAAGATAGAATTCATTCCCATTCCTACCCTAAAAATAAAAAAGAAAGAAAAGATGATATTGAATTGGGAATTAATTTCTCTCCTACTAGGAACAAAAAAGGAAACCTTGGCTAGGATTTTCATTTCACATGTGTACTTGAAGCTGTCCTAGAATTCCCTCTTGTTCTTACCAAAAGAAGAAATAACATTCAAGTCCCAAATTCACTACCTTTGGCTTTTCAAGCAACCAATTTGTTAATTCCACCTGATTTCATTTCCCAAATGGTACAAAATGAAAACACTACCATATACTTCTGTATTTATCTTATTTCTTTTCTTAATTATAAAAGTCATTTATTCCTTTTGTTAGTCAAAAAGAAACGTCTAAGAAAATTCTCATATATGGGGCGAATTCTTTTTTGGAACGTTTTTTTAATTCTAGATGAGATACAACGAATTCGAGTGTAAATCTTATACCAATATACAATGAACGATCTATCATCAGAAAGATTTGTCAAAAAAAAAAACAATTACGTTAGCTATAGTGGATTTAGACCCATACTTACGCATCACAACCATTTATCTCATATGGAGGAAACAAGTCTCATTTTGAACCCGAATGGTTTGCTGCAACAAAAAAAAAATATCCAAAGGTGTAGGCATTCCAAACGTTGACAAGTTTGACCCAAAAATTAGTATAAATACACCCAAAACAACAATAAATAATATGATATCAATTTTTTTTTTTTGGGTATTATAATTAGGTCGGTCAAAATGCGATATGACACAATTAATCGACACGATATTAAGTGGGTTTCGGTGAGGTCTTAACGGGTAAACCTGTTTAATAAATAAGTTATGTTTGTGTGAGATATATCAACTCGTTTAAATAAAATTAATATAATAATAAATTAATAATTATTCAAAAAAATAGTTAAAATAATATATAAAGTTTAATAATTATTTTTAATATTATAATAATAATATAAATTATTAAATTATTAAACAAGTTGTCGTGTAACTTGTTTATTAAACGAATTGTGCTTGGTTCGTAGATTTTCACCGTTCAATTAAATAAATCGTGTACAAGTTGAATAATATTTCACAAGAATAATAGACTGGACACTATTAGCACCCTTAACTGTAATCAAACTCCGAAATGATGTTGTGTTTGAAAGGAGCCAAGGAGGAGCTAGTGATGGTCGTTAAGGAAATGACAAGCATCCACTCCCGCATTTAACGGCCATTTTAGTTTGGTAGTCTAACAGCAGAGAGAGGACAGACAGGACAAATCACTTTGGCAAAAGCTCAAGACTATTTGAACTTGAATATGCATCGACAAAGTTGTAGGTGTTTTGAATCAAATAGGGACTTAAGAAGTCAAAGGAGTGCACCATACATATCATGGTAGCGGTGGAGTCAACAAAATTTTACATTGGTCGTCGATTATTTAACGTAATTGGTAACCGTTTTCTTTTATTTTGGCTTAAGACAGACAACGTTGAATACAACAAATATTTAAGTTCAATTTATATTTGGCTTGGTTTGATCAAAACCCCTACTTAACAATAAGAAAAGCATACACACGAAGAGCAAATCGTAAAAATTATACTCAAGAAATAATGTTCAGACATATGAAAATTCGTATAATCTACCATGGAAAAAATTGTTCTGAATAGCCCAGTCGTTTACTTGCATCTAAATGACTGAAAAAAGGGCTATGTATTTTTTTGACAATGATAATATTCATGTGTCCGCTTCTCTTAATTATTTAAACAAAGCATAATGAACATTTAAAACAAATAAAAAATTTAAAAAGCCAACATAATACATTTGGAAGTTCATAAACCAAAATGAGATTAAACACATACTTCAATAATTCATATAATCTCAAGGGTAATTCAAGTGATAATGAAGGCGAGTTATGAACTTAGACGCCTTAAGTTTGAATTTGATAATTCCTTGGGACTAAGATATAATAGATTTATCTTTCATAAATACCCTAGTTCTAAAGTGAATGACTTGTCTTTGACCGGACTGAAGAGATTAATTGAGACACGCATAAACTAACTCAAACACTCATAACCATTGATATATTTTATCATAAATATTATCTATAGCTCGTATTTTAATAAAGAATTATACCCAAAAACTATGGTTTTCCAAGGGTGGAAAGCCTGCCTTTATTGACAACCAACAATGGGATCTACTTTAGATATGCATATGGAAACCAAAAAAATTGTTTTGAATTGAAATTGGAGTAGTGGGAGGCAAAAGTGTATTAGTCCCTTCCCATATGACCAAAGTTCTTTGCTATTATCTATTCACCATTTATTTAAGTTAATCAAGGTATGCTTTTCCCAAACACCATGCTACTTATTCTCAGCAAAGCTGCTCATAATGCTTGGTGTTGGGGGTTGGAAGTGGATATGGTATAAGGGGTTGCTTTTTGTCGACAAATGCCTTTTGAGAGTATCAATTTTATTCTCTCACATCATTCTTGTTTTTTTTTAGAAACACTGTGTAACCCAAATCTGTAATCAAAATTTGCATTCAAATAAAAGGGGACCATTGAATGAGTAGGTCTCATCAACTTTTTTAAATAGGACTCACTGATCCAATGATCTCCTTTAATTTAGGATGCAAAATTGGATTGCAGATTTGGGTTAAATAGAATTTTTTTTTTTTTTTGATAAAATAGTTATGTAAACAGATCATTCCACATATTCGTTAAAGAATATTATCACTCAACATCACACAACTATATGTAAAAGTGCCCACAACACTTATTGTCGGGGCCAAAATTAAGGTCTCAACAAGAAAATTCGAATTGTTATCCAATCAATCGGTGGTTTCTGTCCCAACATTGGTCATGGGCTGGACCATTCAACCACGTGGTAGTCATAAAGCCCATTGGGTAAGGCCTTGCCTTTTTACCAATCTCGATCAGATGATTTGCTTGTCCCAAACCACCAAGAAGTCCTCGTGTCCCGGCCCACCAGCTTGTCAAATGTCAAGATATTAAAATATTGGCCCGTTAAGAATAGTCCGATTGTTAGTCCACTAAACACTGATTAGGGTGGGACCGGCGGTATTTTTGGACCGTATTTGCTTTGGGTGGACTAGCCTAACTATGCTCAATGACGGGTCATGGACAGGGTTGCTGGCCCATTGTAAATCATACTTTTATTTGTTCCTGATAATTTGTGTTTACTTCAACATTGTTGTGTCACAAATTAAGAGTGGTCCTCTCCTTTCTTTTTTTTTTTGGTTTAAACGTTAGGAATGTCTATGCCAATTTATGCACATCTTGATTAATTTCTTCTTCGATTGTCAAGATTTGAATTTAGAATATCTGAGTGTGCAAATCATCTCTGTTATCACTTGAGCACCCTTAGGACTATTAGGAATGATCTTGTGGCCTAATCGTACACATTAAACTACAAAAATACATACAAATCCCATGGGAGTGAAAGAGATAAGAGATTATATTCTCTATCTGACAATAAAAAAATATGCACAATATTTGGAACATTTATGTCAAATCCAAGATCCAAGTTCTATATAAGAAGACATTATCGAAAGTGAAGATCATAAAGCTTGAGGGAAAAATTGAAAGACAGAAAGATTTGTGGACTTCAAAACAGAAACTCTATAAACATGGCGTCAAGCAACAACTGTTAAAAGAGATGTAGAGGGGAATCCAAAGGCACCAGAGATAACAATCAAACCACGTTTATCATTTACATGAGATATTATTATCTTTCAACAATAATGTAAGAAATAATTATCATATGTAGAGGTTTTGAATCTCATGACAATAAATGAATGTTTAGCCCAGCATAATACTTGGGTATTGTTACTTGCTATTTCGGTCCTTTTTCCTTTAATTCTCCAATTAAAGCATTCAAATCAGAGTAAGAAGATCCACCGTCTTCAACAACCTTTTTTGCCATCTCCTTCAAGGCCTCTGCTCTGTTTCCCATTTGCTCAGATTCTTCCCGCACCATTACACGCTTCACGGCCTTCTCTATCGTGTTTCTCTTCACTCCTTCATGCATGAATTGGACCCATTCGTCAACACCAACCTCAACCCCAATTCTTAAAATCTCAGTCACCAACTTTTCATTCAAGAATTGCTTGGCAAATAGCGGTCATGTCATCATTGGCACCCCAACACACACACCTTCCAGCGTCGAATTCCACCCACAATGAGTCACGAAACCTCCAACAGCTTCATGATCAAGTATCAACACTTGCGGGGCCCACCCTCTTACAATTAGGCCCTTA